TGTTATAAAAGTAAATTATTGATTTATGGTGAAGAAACTTTTAAGAATAAGAGAAAGATTTATACCCGTAGAATCGGGGTACTGAAAGATAATAGAATAAGAGATTGTATTATACTTCAAAGAAGATTTTGATATTCTGCGTATGTCAAAAATGATCGAAACATCTCTTTGATATAGACGGTGAAATAAAATTTACTATACGTGCATAGTGACAATAGGGTCCAAATGAAATTTTTTCTTACACGCCAAACATCTTCTGCACTTCTCTAAGTCGAGAGTTTGACTTTCACAACATCTATATATAAAAATTGTCTTCATTGCGTTTCCTGTTTCACTGGCGTCACCTTAAAATGTTCTTCGATTGTGTCCCTCTTGGTGACAGCTAGCAAATCAAGTGTGTGAGAGTCCATATTACAAAAAGGCTTGTTTTGTTTGACTTTGACCGATCTCTCTCAGTTATGAAATCAAAGATGATATAGCTTTGGTATATAAGCCATTTTCTAATCTCATTGGTAAAAAAACCAGTTTTGAAAGAGGTACAATATACAGTGGGTCTCACGAATTTGGAGAGAGGTGTGTTAGGATTTATTAGAGTTTGTATATATCGTTAGTGTCTGGGAGATTGGAGTTGGACTCATGTGGGTCTCTTTCTATCAATTGCCCTACGTGTGTGTGTGACTGTGGAATGTCATTATACGTCACTATTATTGTCACCGATTCATTTATTTTTAGGTTTTAAATTTGATAAGTCACCGATTTGAAAGCATTCTCAGATAGTGGCTTCGACTAGTTGATAACTTTGATAGGCAAGTCGGTGAGAAAAAAAGGATGGAACTTGTGTCATTACCTGATCGGTTTACCTATTAGTGCATGTTGGACTTAGAGCATCCAGAATTGTGGAGTACCTTCAAAGAGATTCTAATTAAATTTTGATTTTTGTAATGCAATTGAACTAATGAAAAAATTACAAATCTTACTAGAGTTTCTAAGACCATCTCTATTTGGGTCTCTTAGAGACCTCCATACTATGACAAAAAAAACCCACTAAAAATAAATCAAAACTAAACTAAATATAGTTTTGATTAAAATTTGTCTAGATACCCATGAAAAAAAATCTTTCATTTGAGATATCCATAAGTGACTCACTCTCTCCTCAAAAAGTTACTTTCAATAACGGTTTTAACGCCCCCGATCACCGGTGAGGCCGTGGAACGCCTCAACCCATACGCAACGGGACGACCAATCTTCAGTTCTTTAGAACAAATCCAACACTTAGGCTCGACTATCCCGGAGCGTCCCTCCCATCCAACATTTTCCAACGTCTGATGATTCTATCATCCAACATGCCTCTCTAATGGATCCCGACTAAGGTTCTCGCAACAGATAGAGTGGGATGAGTAATCTAGAATTACTTAGTGAGTTAGAGCCTTACTAACAATCAAGTATAGGATTCCCGCCCAAACCCAAAATAA